TCACATCTATCAACAAGCAATCGGAAGAAGTTTGTCACAAATGTTAAAAATAGTTTCATCGTCACCGGTTTTGTCAAATCAAAGGACACAAAATTCAATGCAAGATTTTATATTGAACAACTTTTATCTGAATAGTGTAATTATTTTGCCACAAAAGTGAACAGCCATGGAGTCGAAATCTGTTGTTTGAAGCCTGCGTCGGGAACCTAGTCAGTACATTTACTGAGATGGTTTAATTGTTGTTGTAGGTAGATATATGTCCACGTGAGCGCTGTTTTATCATACAGACTGCTGTATTGGACGCTATGTACTATCATAGATAAGTGAGTACAGAGATGGCCATCGGTCATCCCTGTTTATCAGCAACAAGGTCGTAATACACATCTTATGTGAAGGGACTGGTGAAGGCGATTCCTAGGTAGGTTGTGCATATAACAATATATAATAATGTGTAATACTGGGTAGCACAGGAAATGGTAAATAATTGTTGTATCTAAGTTAACATATCAAGTTAAACATAATATCTCGTGTCGTAACTGTACTTTAGTGTGAAGTTCTGTATTTTTGTGGGGCTTAAATTTTGTGGTTTCCTCCCCCCCCCCCCCAAAAAAAACCCCACAACATTTTATTGGTACCATAACATAATACGTACATTTTTCTACTCTGGAAAGGTGGTCAAAACATTGATCTTTCTATAAAAGTCATAATCGATCATTTTTGTGTGTGCTTTGAATATATAGCAAGACTTTCCTGTCTATTTTTCTTCTGTTTCCGCTAGAACTTGTATTGCTACATTACTAATACTTTAAGTAGTGCGTTTCACTCGAATCTGTTCTTTTCACGAAACTAATTATAACTTACTTTAGCGCAAAGGACTGTTTCAGTATCGACGTTGACTTGCTGGCCATGACCGCGACAATATGGCTAATCGTTCAAGAAATCTTAATGCTACTATACGTGCTTGTCCTATCATGCCTGTCGTCTCGTAAGATTATGCGGAGCGATGTGTCTGACGCAAATCAAACCGCCCGAGTTTTATCAATCTTCGGTCAGCTATTGTTAGAAGCGCTTCCCTGGCAGTTGCCAAATTTTGTGGCGGAATGACAGACACCTATGAACAGCCAGTTTCTGTTCATGTATTATTCATGGGATGCGATGAATGACGGTGTTGTTACGGCGTTTCAAATATATCGTTGCGAATTATTTGGTTTACATTCTATTTTATAAACACGACAGAAGCAAACAATATATTCTGTGAATGACATCTCTTGATTATGATTGCTTTTCTGGTTGAAGATGTCTTTGGTTCACTTCACTGTGTCAACTGCAAGTCGACATTTATGAACTCTGGCATTGTCATGATGAAGCCATATGCATTTCGTTACTTGTCCTCCCCGGGTCATTATGACTTATCCACGTTTCGTTCCCAGTCCTACAATTGTCTCAAGAAAGTTCTCTGCATCCCGATTTTATTGCCGAACTTTGACGATATACACAAACATTTAGTCATTTAAAATATCCGCAAAGCATGCAGTCGTTGCGGCTCGATGGATGGTGCCGGTGATATAGTGATGCCCTCGTATGCTATTTCTTTGTGTGAAATGAGGTCAATGCTTTTGATTGTCTTGTTTTTGTTGTTGTTGTGATTCCCCAAGTTCTCAAGTATGAAGACGACATATTACTTGGATTTGATCTAAATTTACATGGTACATGTAGGTATCATCACGGAATTAGATTAGGTTATCTAAGTCCGTGGTATCATCAATGAAGCAGAACACGCTACCCCTTCTAGAACACCTTCTGTCGTTCTACTTGTACATTTTTGAGGGTCTCCATGTAAAACTTTACTTTGTTCATAGTTTGCCTCATTCTCGATATCCAGGGGATACGATCACTTCGCTCTCTGCACCCCTGTAATATGTCATAGCAAAATTGAAGGCACGCGGTTAGCTATTTGATAGGTGTCGGGTAAAATAACCTGACCAATCGCTAGGCTGATACCTGTCCTTTGAAGATTATAGAGGAGCGACGCCCGACTTCAAAGTCAGTACGTTTTACCGTTACGCGGCCGCGAGATTCTTTTGATGTACATCAAATGATCAAACTAGTCTTCTCGTCTCATCCACAAGGTGCTGCAAACTGAGCCTTCGATTTTGCTATGACATATTCCAGGGGTACAGAGAGAGAAAGTGAGCGTAACCCCTGGCTATCGAGGATGGGGTTGTCTTTTTTATCGACTTTTGTGTTCTTATTACAGTTTTGCTGACACGCTTGTATTCTGTTGTTGTTTTATTTACAACAACAAACGATAACTGTTAATGTACGCTGTTACTTTGTACCAGTTGTACAGGGATATAGAAGTCGGCCATCTATGTATCGGTGTCTTTATCAATGTTATCAGGTCCTGAGCAGTGTTTATCTAATTGGAGGTGTGACACTGTTCCACATATTTAAGATAACCTGCTTCAATACATAGTTAACCGTATTTTCTTTACATTCGCTTTTTTTTACTAAACCGACTTTTTATCATGTTTGATTGTCAGATACAATTTTATAGATCTTGATTGTTAGATCCACTTTTATAGATCTTGATTGTTAGATCCACTTTTATAGATCTTGATTGTTAGATCCACTTTATATATATTTATTGTTAGATCCACTTTTATAGGTCTTGATTGTCAGATCCATTTTTATAGGTCTTGATTGTTAGATCCACTTTTATAGATCTTGATTGTTAGATCCACTGTTATAGATATTGATTGTTAGATCCACTTTATATATATTGATTGTTAGATCCACCTTTTTAGATCTTGATTCCTGGATTCACTTTTTTAGATCTGGATTGCTTGATCCACCTTTTTAGATTTTGATTGTTAGATCCACTTTCATCGATATTGATTGTTAGATCGACGTTTTTAGATCTTGATTGCTGGATCCACTTTTATTGATCTTGCTTGCTAGATCCATTGGTATCAATCTTGAGATTAACAAGTCAGTTATAAGGGTAAACCAGAAATGACTGTATCTACATAAGACTTCTCCTCAAACAAAGCTAGATACAGTAGAGATCCTACATTATCTGTATTGCCTATGATTCGTTTCGACGCAGTCACAATAACATTTAGGCAGATACCCCCTCCCCTCATAATCCTTGGCTGCTATAGCTATACACTTAAATAGTATTCTCGTACACATTAAAGTCTACCGATCATTGAGTCCAAATCTCTCTGTTTCCAGGCCATTAGAGGGAAGGAAGGAAGGAGATGACGCTAACTGAGTCGCTTCTGTGGTTACCATTGACCATACTGGGACAGACAGCCAAAGTAGTAGAAGTCTTCTTATTCGTGTTGGTGGGTATGAATGGGGGAAAATATAAAAATTCTAAGAAATGTCAGGTACTCAAAGTGAGAACAATGGTAAAATATAAATACAGATACCATATACTGTACAAGTGGACATTTTTGCGTGTGGAAATATTCACATTGTGACCCTTTAAACTAATCGCGGTGTGGACATTTTCGCGTTGACAATAGCTCTGAAATCCAAAATATTCTATGTATCTATATTCTATAAGAAATAATCGCTTGCGTATATATTTGGGCTAGTCTATTTAAAAAAAACCACACACATTTCGACACCGCGACTATTTCCATTTTTACAGAATATAGTTATACTGTATATATCAGATGGCGTATTTTACGAACAAGTTTTAATCAAACTACTGACTAGTTTGCCAGCTTTATGAAACACGAGTTCACAGAACGTTTTGTTTTCATGTACTTATTACGCATAATCTCAGGAATATTTTATATAGATGACAACTGTGGGCATCGTTATTTTATTGAGAAACATGTCATTTCTTTGCGTGATAAGAAGGGCGATACATTTTAATTTATGAGTGTGTCTGGTTGTTTTATTGTCACTGCCATTGTTCCCACTTTGTGTACCTGACATTTCTTAGAATACTTGATTTACATGGCAGATGACGCTTACCCTTCCGAAACACCGGTTTTATTCTCCTCGCACGTTTTCAAGGGTCTCATCATATCATAAATTTCTCATGTTAAACCTTAGTTTTATCGATTTGCACTTTTTAATTACGGTTCTTTTGGCACTCCGTTATACGCAAAATTACTGTAACATAATATTATGTAAAATACAGTACCGCTGCATCTTACGATATAAATTACTGTTGAATGTGTTTCATTGCTGGAGAAGATTTTCCCTTAAATGTTTCTAATTGCTGTATTATATTTAGATAGGCTGGTACGACGTGTATGTGTACTCGCCTCTACAAAGATGTCTGTCTCCAGTCGTGGCTACCATACCCCGCTCACTGACCATTAACGGACATCCCTATGACGTGTTCACGGCTAACATAGTATCGTGGTCACGAACACTGTTGGTCATCCCCATAGCTATTTGCCTTAAGTAAGTGAATACGTACCATGTTTCCCGATGTTAGACTACATGGACCTTAGGATCAATTACTGGATTACGTTTGAACTTATCCTGGTATCTAGGCAGAATGAACGTGGTATAAAATAATATTTCTGATTCATGTCAAAAGTAGTAAATAAAATGAGTGTTGATCTAAAGCGCGCATAGCCTCCTCTTACTTCTGGAATTAGCCTCCTCTGTAACGGACATATCCTACTCCATCTTCTGAAGGAAGCGTCCTCTGTAGCGGGCATAACCTCCTCTTACTTTCAAAATAGTCGTCTTTTGTAATTTAGTTTAAACATATTTTATTGCCAAAACATTTGGGAGAGGGATTTGACACAGATTTTTGCAATTTATGGTAGTTTTCTCAAACGTTACAATTACAAGCTCTCTCATTGTTATCACGTATATCAACAGGCGACGGTTATAATAATGCCTTTTGATTTGTTGTTTTTTGCACATCTCACCTAATTTAATCTGCAATTATCTTATCTGAAACGTTTTTAGGAAATTCTGTTTCAAACTTTTACGAAAAAAATGAAAATTTATTTACCTTATTATTTTTTGTGCGAGATCATTGTAACCCTTTTGCCCCTATGTAACTTTAGTAGACTCTACCATGCATTGATACGGACGAGTCCATTATGATCTACAGTGGTGAAAGGGTTCAACTTTAACAACACTACAACATGCATAGCACAGATTTGTCACGGATGAATGACTTTAACTAATTTCGATTCTGGAAATGATACATGAAGTGCACACACAGTTGAAATCATACGAATTAGTTCTAGGAACACAATTTGACCCTCCGAATTGAAGTGTTTGACTGTACCACTCTATTGTCTTAACACAACTGTAACTATCCCCAGGTACGAGTACTCCGTGATAGCGTTCCTCCTCGTCATAGCCCACGACTTCCTGGACCATGTAGACGGTCTTGTGGCGAAGCAGCACAAACAGATGTTCGGCCAGATTGACGATCCTTTGTTGGGAGGATTCATGGACGCCTTTTGCGACAAGGTTTGACAGGAAACATCATGACAGGTGCCACATGCGGTGCAAAAAACAGTTCTGATTTTCTTCTTGTTAGGGATGTTCCAGTCGTTCCATTCTTAAGCTCCCTTAATCTATCCTTCACTAATCTGGTTGTCCCACTATTCACCCTCTTAAATCCAGACACAGCTAATCTGGTTGACCCACTATCCAGCCACCACTAATCAGGTTGTCTCGCTATCCAGCCACCACTAATCAGGTTGTCTCGCTATCAAGCCACCGCTAATCAGGTTGTCTCGCTATTCAGCAACCACTAATCAGGTTGTCTCGCTATCCAGCCATCACTAATCCTGTTGTCTCGCTATCCAGCCACCGCTAATCCTGTTGTCTCGCTATCAAGCCACCGCTAATCAGGTTGTCTCGCTATCCAGCCACCGCTAATCAGGTTGTCTCGCTATCCAGGCACCACCAATCCTGTTGTCTCAACATTCACCCTCGTTAATCCAGCCTCCACTAATCTGGTTGTCCCACTATTCACCCTCTTTGATTTAGCCATCATCAATGCGGTTGTCCCGTTCTTCGCCCTCAGTTATCCAGCCGCCATAAATCAGGTTGTCCCACCATCCAGCCATCACTAATCAGGTCGTCCCACTATCCAACCACCACGAACCAGGTCGTCCCACCATCCAGCCACCACTAATCAGGTCGTCCGACTATCCAACCACCACGAACCAGGTCGTCCCACTATCCAGCCTCCACTAATCTGGTTGTCCCACTATCCAGCCACCACTAATCAGGTTGTCCCACTATCCAGCCACCACGAACCAGGTTGTCCCAATATCAAGCCACTATTAATCTGGTTGTCCCACTATCCATCCACAACTAATCAGGTTGTCCCACTATTCAGCCACCACTATTTGGTTTGGTTTGGTTTAATTTTATTTAACGTCCTATTAACAGCTAAGGTCATTTAAGGACGTGCCTCCATGTGTGTAGTGTATGCGTGCTCGCGTGTGTGTATACAGGAGACAGGGTATGTTGGCGTGATAGCGCGGATTTGATGCCGACTTTATAGTGTTATCTCACTGAAATACCATGCCGAATGCACTCAGCACAGCACCGCCCGATCACATTATACTGACAACGGGTGAACCCTAAATGCTGGACGTTAAGCAGGGAATAACAACTACCATTATTAAGGACTTTGGTATGTCCCGGCCTGGGGACAGAACCCAATGCCTTCCTCACCTGGGCGAAGGCCAAAAGTGAGGTGTTCACAAGCAAGGCAGCTAGTTAGAAATAGAAATAGAAAGATAAAGATCCCAAATATTGCATTTGGTAATCAGGTTGCCCCACTATATCAAGAAGTTTCACTACTAAACCAGTATATTAGCCATTTTTGCTGTGGATAATGGTGACTGAGATATACATATAAAGATTTCATTATGATCTTGTTGTGTTAGTGACCGTAGTATCAAATTATATTATACTCTCAAACCTGTTTGAAGTTTACTGTAGAAACTAACCTATGTTATAGTTGGTACCGTCACCTCACAAGACAATCTTATCAGATAATATCCCCTTTCAAAACGATTTTGTCATGCAAAGACTTTCCTTTTATTAGCATTTCCATTGTTTGTTTTCGTTTTTAAACCAGAACAAATAGATAACGGCAACGCAAAAACAATCTTTCAACTTGACGAAAACCATAGGTATTCTGCACCAACACAAAGATATCATATAGGCCCGGAAAACCACTCGTGGAGACATACGCTGATTCGGTAGGGAATAGGAAATCAAATGTACCAGGGCAACATCTGTAAGCTGAAGTAGAAGTTGGTATGTTTGGGAATCCTGGGTTCAGCCCCCAAGGGTCCCACACTGGGTGATTGTCATACATCTTTAACGGTGAAGACTATATCGGTTCTATTTTCAATTATGAATAGCAATGTTTTGGTGCCGACGTACATCCATGCACAATGGTAGATTCAACTTTCGTGCCAGACTCGTATATGTTACTACTGAGGAAACGGAAATTATTGATTGTGAAATTTAAGAAATAACATTTGCTGGAATAATAATAATAATATTTCGAGGTTCTTATATTCCGTTTTATCACAACCTAGTTCGTATAGGTCGTCTCAAAGCGGTTCACAAATTATTATCCGGGGTTATTGGGCCTTCGCAACCAGCCAATTTCTTTCTCAACTCCCTGGGGAGCATACAGCCCGTGCCGCCATTTCGGCGCTCACAGCTAGCATTCAACAATTCTAGCACTTCCCAACCACGTACTGATTTACAGCTGAGTAGACTTGAACAAGCGGAGTAAAGTATCTTACTCAAAGATACAAATCAGTGCCGTGCCGTGACTCGAACCGCAACCCTTCGGTCACGAATCCGGCGTACGCGTCCTACCTCTAGACTACCATATTTGACTTTTATTAGTTTAAAGTTGACAAACAATATTCTGTAGCCGGTGTTTATAATTCAGACACAATAGAAAATCACATAAAGATCTCAATCTCACTTTTTACCATTTAAGATTGTGAATGTGCTGTCTCTATGGTCAATACTGATGGTGACCAATTTCGCCCCGATGACCTTCCAAGGGACGTTACTCTTGGTGTTCTCCTGTGTCATCATCATATGCTATGAATTCGTCATAGGTGTTGTGCGGGTACAGGATTATTTCCGGGCCTTTTATCAAAGGTAAGAAGCGTAAACCATCCGTTCATATTAAACTGAATAATGATTACGTCGTCAAGAATTTCTCAAAATTAGTTTCGTACCCGGTGTTGCCTTAAAGGGAGTTAATCATGTCTCTCATTTTGTTTTGATGGAAGTGGTTGTTGTCAGTTTGTATCGATGATGAGTTAGGATTTAGTCTTGTGTAATAATGATGTAACCTTACTTTACACATGTATACACTATAACAGCAGAGCATATACAACGGAACTTTTTATTATTTATTTGACTTTTGATTTCTTCTATATTACTCTTAATGTTTTAGAGAATACAAAATACAAACTAAATCTGACAACACTGGAAATACGGCGGCCGTCATGGAGGGGAAACTGAAGGAAAAGCTCGAGTCCATGGGGATAGCCTTTCTTTGTCTGGCACAGTCTTCAGGAAATATCACAACGTCTGTCTGTCAGTAATTTATTTGTTATACTTGTTTCTGTACATTTTTTTTTAGAAATAGGCTTGTACAAAATGTCAAATCTGAATTATTTTCATTTAAAAAATGTAAAAAACAGTAAATAAATTCATTCGCAGAAAATAATAAATACGTTTAATTGAATAAAATAGTGGATAATTTCCATACACGAGGGCCATTCATTAAATGCTATACAACGCCTGTTGTGGGATGTGGCATGGTCGGGAATCAGCTGGATGTCACTCAACCCTTTACTTGGACACTTTTTCATGTAGAACTTTTGACAGGGTTCAGAGCTTTGTCTCTGTAAAATGTGGCAGTGACAGTTTTCCCTTCCTTGCACGGTATCTGAACCACAGGCCCACTATAATTGCTTAAACAATGGCATACAAAACTTTTTTGGCGATTTTTATACATCTTGCAATCACTAGCCTTTCATGATTTTTCGACAATCATTGTTTGTTACTAAAGCGCGCCTCTAGGATTTAAAGTAATAGAGGCAAGTCTCGTCCCCTGTAAATAACTCAGGTAGCGTTTTTAAGTCGCAATTATCGTACTTTTTTCAATATATTTTAGCACATTTCAAACGTTTGGCCTTTTGTTCAAATGTCAATAAATGACGGATCAATCGGGCTCAAAGCTTCTTAAATGTCAAGCACCTGGTCAGAATGTGGTGTTTACTGCCTTCTGAAATGTCAACCATATGAGCTATCTCAGAAATAGTATGACGACCATCATCCTTCAATACTGCTTTCACGGCAGCAATGTTAAACAGCTGACCTGCCTGCTCGTGTGTCCTCTTTAAGGTCAACTTTACCATTATTTGACTTGTTCACCCACCTGAAAACAGTTCTCAATGTGATGACAGCGGTGCCTTTTATGCTGCACAACTCGGCATGTATCTGGTTAGGCGGTATCTGTAAATGACCCCGTGCTTTAATATAGCAGCTTATTTCAGATTTAGTCTCGACCTTTAATTTAGCATTTCAACATTGAATAACTTGTTAAATTCTTGTCGGATAATGTCGGGATTTTACACGTACATGGTTCTTTAATGCTTTTGCAGTCTGCCAAGGTGCTAAACTTATTTTACTGCCTTTTCGTACGGGAGCTGTGTAGTGACATACTTTAATGAGTGGCCCTCGTATATGAATGAATAGAATACGCCGTACAAAGTATTTTGATATATGTCATTTTGTGTCGTTCACAGCTGGGATTGTTGGTATCGTCTGTCTACTTCTGTCTGTCCGTCTCGCGCATGCGTCGTTACGTCACAAACTGAATGCCCGAAAAAATACAAAAACGATGGCGGAGGAGCCGAAATCTAAAGTTCAGAGTGAGAATAAAACACGGGAAAGGAATACGTCACAGTCTAACGACAACGATCCAACGACAAACGAAAAGGAAAACAGGAAATGCGTATGTTTCGAATTATGACGTACTTGTTTCAGCGTCTACGTATCCTTTTTGCTAACGTTTGACTCGGAATGTTGATCACGTGACACGTGAAACAAAACTATAACGATAATGAAATTGTCCACTCCTACTCCATATAATTCATTTGAGTGATCACTAATTAAACTTTATTTTACTGCTTTTTTTATGGAGTGTCTAAATTTGTTTGATTCATGGAAACCAAAACATCAGCCGTTTGTCCTTTATTGAGACGCTTCAAGTACCTCTTTTAAAGTAATTTATCATTCATATGGTTCAATAGGAGGAAGTGAGGCTAGACACCCTTTCTCCCCTGAAAGACAAACCATCGACAGTCAAATATGACAGAACAGCCTCTTACGAAGACACCGGAAGCAGGTACGATAGAGGCTTTAATGGCGTACGGGGAGAATATCGACAACATGTATATCTCTCGAGAGATAAATGGGTTGCCGCTGTCTCTCATACTGAGTCGGGCACAAATTCTCTTACATTTAATTTTTCTCAGATTTATAAACAAAATAAAACAAAAGTCAAGCTTCAACGCATAAGAACAAGGCATAAGATCAAAATATACCACATTGTCAACACACAAGCACAAACTATACCACATTGTCAACACACAGGGACAAACTATACCACGTCGTCAACACACAGGGACAAAATATACAACATTGTCAACACACAGGCACAACATATACCACGTCGTCAACACACAGGGACAAAACATACCACATCAAAATATACCACATTGTCAACACACAAGCACAAACTATCCCACATTGTCAACACACAGGGACAATATATACCCCGTCGTCAACACACAGGCACAAAATATACCACATTGTCTACACACAGGGACAAAATATACCAGGTCGTCAACACACAGGGACAAAACATACCAAATCGTCAACACACAAGCACAAACTATACCATATTGTCAACACACAGGGACAAACTATAACACGTCGTCAACACACAGGGACAAAATATACCACGTCGTCACCACACAGGGACAAAACATACCACATCAAAATATACCACATTGTCAACACACAAGCACAAAATATACCACATTGTCAACACACAGGGACAAAATATACCAGGTCGTCAACACACAGGGACAAAACATACAACATTGTCAACACACAGGCACAAAATATACAACATTGTCAACACACAAGCACAAAATATACCACATTGTCAACACACAGGCACAAAATATACCACATTGTCAACACACAGGGACAAAACATACCACATCGTCAACACACAGGCACAAAATATACCAAGTCGTCAACACACAGGCAAAATATATACCACATCGTCAACACACAGGGACAAAATATACCACATTGTCAACACACAAGCACAAACTATACCACATTGTCAACACACAGGCACAAAATATACCACGTCGTCAACACACAGGAACAAAATATACCACATTGTCAACACACAGAGACAAAATATACCACGTCGTCAACACACAGGGACAAAACATACCATATCGTCAACACAAAGGCACAAAATATACCACGTCGTCAACACACAGGCACAAAATATACCACATCGTCAACACACAGACACGACATATACCACGTCGTCAACACACAGGCACAACATATACCACGTCGTCAACACACAGGCACAACATATACCACATTGTCAACACACAGGCACAAAATATACCACATCGTCAACACACCGGGACAAAACATACCACATCGTCAACACACAGGGACAAAATATACCACATCGTCAACACACAGGGACAAAATATACCACGTTGTCAACACACAGGCACAAAATATACCACATCGTCAACACACAGGCACAAAATATACCACATTGTCAACACACAGGCACAAAATATACCACGTCGTCAACACACAGGGACAAAACATACCACATCGTCAACACACAGGCACAAAATATACCACGTCGTCAACACACAGGCACAATATATACCACATCGTCAACACACAGGGACAAAATATACCACATCGTCAACACACAGGCACAAAATATACCACGTCGTCAACACACAGGCACAAAATATACCACATCGTCAACACACAGGCACAAAATATACCACGTCGTCAACACACAGGCAAAATATATACCACATCGTCAACACACAGGGACAAAATATACCACATCGTCAACACACAGGCACAAAATATACCACGTCGTCAACACACAGGCACAAAATATACCACATCGTCAACACACAGGCACGACATATACCACGTCGTCAACACACAGGCACAACATATACCACGTCGTCAACACACAGGCACAACATATACCACATCGTCAACACACAGACACAACATATACCACGTCGTCAACACAAAGGCACAACATATACTACGTCGTCAACACAAAGGCACAAAATGTACCACGTCGTCAACACACAGGCACAAAATATACCACATCGTCAACACACAGACACAACATATACCACGTCGTCAACACAAAGGCACAACATATACTACGTCGTCAAAACAAAGGCACAAAATGTACCACGTCGTCAACACACAGGCACAACATATACCACGTCGTCAACACAAAGGCACAACATATACTACGTCGTCAACACAAAGGCACAAAATATACCACGTCGTCAACACACAGGCACAAAATATACCACATCGTCAACACACAGGCACAACATATACCACGTCGTGAACACAAAGGCACAACATATACTACGTCGTCAACACAAAGGCACAAAATATACCACATCGTCAACACACAGACACAACATATACCACGTCGTCAACACAAAGGCACAACATATACCACGTCGTCAACACACAGGGACAAAATATACCACATCGTCAACACACAGGCACAACATATACCACGTCGCCAACACAAAGGCACAACATATACTACGTCGTCAACACAAAGGCACAAAATATACCACGTCGTCAACACACAGGCAAAATATATACCACATCGTCAACACACAGGCACAAAACATACCACATCGTCAACACAAATGCACAATATATACCACATCGTCAACACACAGGCACAATATATACCACATTGTCAACACACAGGCACAGTGCCCTACCGCATGTAATACTTGGTTCTCGTTCTGGTGCAGTGCCCTACCGTATGAAGACTTGTTGGAGTCCGACCCCCACTTAAAGGACGTCGTCCATCGCCTGGTCCGTCAGCACTCCGTCCCCTCGATAGGACTCGATGGTCGGGTACAGAAAGTCTTCTCAATAGGATGCTTTGACCTTTTCCACGAAGGTCATCGACGTTTATTGCACCGACTAAAAGCCATAGGAAAACAGGTGAACGACACACATCCATTCATACAGAAGACAGTTTTTTTCGAATTCTGATAATTTTTTCCTTCATGAAAATAATTAAAGCGTCAGAGTGATTCCTTTTTGACGTGTTATACTTAAGTCTGATTTAAAATAGTATGCTTATTACCATCTTCAGTCAATCGAACATTTTCTTTTTCCAGATATGTATAACTATTAATCAAAATATCCGGATAATCGATATTTGTGATCAGTGATTACACAAACACCATGTTTTTTCGTGTATTTCGTCAAGTTGTATAAACTTTTATTTATATTACAACAATTATGAATCAAGTTATTTCATCTTATATTAATCACACGTGTTGGCCCGGATGTTAGCTCGCGTATATGTAATCCATTGTGACTACAAATGTCACAGGGACCTGAGAATTTGTTACAGCGATATTTGGACCCAAACTAAGGTGTTCAGAGTAATTTTACATGTTTTAAGGATTTGGTACTCTGAACGCCTATTAGTTAAGGTCCAAATGTAGCTGTAACAATTTTGCAAGTACCTGTGGCAAATGTGACGTACCAAAATGGCGATGCTGAAAACTTGACAATGGTATAAAAAAACTTTTCAGCAAATATTCGGCCCAACTCTGGTCCAACCGGTTAAACCGTTTGGACCGCGATAAACGAAAACGGCCCTGGTTAAAAAGATCTTATATACAGATGAGTCTAGCTTTGGAACTAGTTCCGCCAATCTCTCATGACCTACAATATCTTACCGTAAACTTTACACACATGTTTGATAAATCACGTGACTGCCCTTTATAATTACAGGTGATAGTGGGAGTACACGACAGTAGAAGTATTTTTAAACTCAAGAAGCGTGTCCCAATAGACAGTACAGAGAGGCGCATGTTCAACGTCAAGCAAATCGCGGACGTGGTAAGTCAAGTAACTAGAACTGTGGTTGTATTTGTTGTAGTAGTGATGTTGGTGGTTTTCTCAAAATAACCGGTCCCACGTGATATCGAGTCGGAAAATCTAGGGCGCTGATTGGTCGAGGAAAGATTTAAATATCCACCGATGTTGTTAACAATTTGACCGGCATTGGGGTTTCTGTATACGTTTGAGGTGTTCCGATACAAAGTTTAACCTTTCCACACTTTTGCGGATCATTTGGTGTTTTGCCGTGTCTTTTAAGGCACACCTTCCAAAATCCTTGTCTGTGTTTGAATTGGAATTAAATACGTTATCTTCACCATACAAACACCGTCCACTATATCCAAAAGCTCCATATTCTTTACCGAAAAATTGGCGGGATACACAAAATCACTAGACCATATCTACCCATCGACCAATCAAATCACGCCGTCACCAATCAGTTTTCGATTAGTTTCGGTCGGCTAAAATTCGACAGCTCCAATTAACACGGTACCTACAGATGGACTTCTAACCCTCACCCAGTTCCAGATATGTACCGGTAAACGACTATTTGGTTGGCTATTGTTTCCAATGTACCAGCTGAACATTTATCTATGTCTACTGCGGTAAATAGTCATCATCCTCAATTCTGATTGGCTGACACTCTGGCATTATCGTCCGTCTATCTGCATGTAAATAGATCTATACCAAAATTGAAGTATGTTATACCATTGTGCAGTTAGAGTTTCACGACGATTAATCTCCCCACATATCTAACTATATCCTCGATATCCAGGGGTTACGCTTACTTTTGCTCTCTGCATCCCTGGAATATGTCATAGCCAAATCGAAGCATCAGAGTGCGCAAGCTTGTGGATGAGACAAGAAGACTAGTTCGATCCTTTGAATTACATCAATTAATCTCTCAGATGCGTAACGATAAAATTGGCTGGATTTGAAGTTAGATGTCGCTCCTCGATTATCTTCAAAGGACAGATATAAGCCTAGCGATTGGTTAAGTTTTGTTTTTTACCTGAAACCAATCAAAGAAAGCGTAACCCCTGGAGTGTCGAGGATGACCTAAGTAGGTAGTGGACATTTCCCAAATTATGTATGGTACATGTGGTTGGAATAACAGTAGGCTTACCATTTGATATATGCCGCCTTCCTTTCACAGGTGTACTGTATCGCCGGCACGGACCCCACACCTTTCCTCTCCTGTATCGTAGACACCAACGACGGATGTTCATGTGTTTACGTCAGAGGGGACGACATGCAGGCGTTCCCTGCACGAGAGTTCTGCGAGAAGTTGATGCCGGTGACGTTCCTCCCGTACTCCTCTGGAGTTTCCTCTACAAAACTACGAAAACTGCAGCACGACTCGTCCAAATTCGGTCCGCACGTCAAATCAGACCATGACGATATTCTGTATTGATTCATAACATACATGTACATTTGCATTTAAGTTGTAAATAAGTATTTATTTTGTATAAATAATGTTTTGTCAGCTTTAACAAAGAAACTGAGAAAATGTTATAGGCATAAATGAGAAATCTGAAATGACTCAACTCCAGAAAAATGTATATAATTATGAGCATTGTAAAGCGGCTTAACTCCAGAAAATGTTTCTTTGAATTTCCTGATGTTATTTAACTCAAAGGCCTTCTCAGATGTTATTATCTTGTAACAAGAAGAATCATTGTTTACGTTAATGGTTTCGAATCAGAAACTGTTTGCGACCTCCGCCGTGCTGTTACAGTGTTCGGGAACCAGCCTCTTGTGACGACCAATCAAAACCTTGACGGAAAGGGACTCCTAGAGACGTTTGTCGTCGACTTAAATGGTTACCAAAAGAAATCTAGGTCCTATTTCATCTATTTGCCAAAAAAAGTTGTATAATATGATATCATAAACCAAACAAAACGACCCAGAAAGATCAAATGTTTGCTTCTAACGGTTGTCTTGTGTTAATCGAGGCGGGAGGAGAAACTTTGAAGTGACGCTGATCCAATTGCGTTCAAAGCCCTATGAACGCAATTTCTCATGGTAATGCTTGTGGAGGAACTCGCAGTGGAAATGTAAATATAATTCAATGTTAAGATGTACTTAAATCTTTGAGTACGTGGATGGTTATGTAGGCTTTTAGAGACGATTCAATTCCGAAATGTCTTGCAGATGTATAAATGATCATTTTAGGCAGCAACGCAACAATAGAGCATGGAAATGAGCCTTCAGAGACGATGATTCAACACTGCCTTCTGAGGAACTCCAACTACAGAATATCCATTAATAAAGGTCTAAACTGATTTGACTTAAGATGGAAAATATCTATAATGTATACTGTATATAGACTTCTAAGCTAGCAATTCAACAACTTCAGATAATAACCGGGACGAACTAACCAATTGTTATGTAAATTCATGAAAATTGATGCCTGAAGAAACATAAACTTTGTCTAATGCTAAATTGTTGTCTTATCATTTCCAACATACCCAAAAAAGGTTTCATCACTCCTAGCCAGTGGTTCATTTCTCCCAAACCTGTTATAGGGTTTCATCATTCCTAGCCAGTGGTTCATTTCACCCAAACCTGTTATAGGGTTTCATCCCTCCTAGCCAGTGGTTCATTTCTCCCAAAACTGTTATAGGGTTTCATCATTCCTAGCCAGTGGTTCATTTCACCCAAACCTGTTATAGGGTTTCATCTCTCTTAGCCAGTGGTTCATTTCTCCCAAACCTGTTATAGGGTTTCATAACTCCTAGCCAGTGGTTCATTTCTCCCAAACCTGTTATTGGGTTTCATCACTCCTAGCCAGTGGTTCATTTCTCCCATACCTGTCATAGGGTTTCCTCACTCCTAGCCAGTGGTTCTTTTCTCCCAACCCTGTTATAGGGTTTCATCACTCCTAGCCAGTGGTTCATTTCTCCCAAACCTGTTATAGGGGTTGATCATTCCTAGCCAGTGGTTCATTTCTCCCAAACCTGTTATAGGGTTTCATCATTCCTAGCAAGTGGTTCATTTCTTCCAAACCTGTTATAGGGTTTCATCATTCCTAGCCAGTGGTTCATTTCTCCCAAACCTGTTATAGGGTTTCATCATTCCTAGCCAGTGGTTCATTTCTCCCA